ATTCAATTTTTAACAAATTTGTTTTTTAAAAAATTGTAACCCTTAGAAAAAAAAATGATTAGCGAACATAAAATAAAAAGATATTTGAATAGTTGACGATCTAAATCACTGTGTTTGAGATCTTACGTTGATAGCAAACTTTTCTAACTTAATCAAAGATTTTAATTTTAAGAGTTGAGAATATAATTTTGTTAAAATTTATAAAAGAAAGTTTCACTGTTTATTGGATTTTGCCCAACTCAAATTTGGATTTAGTAGGTGGTCTACTGAGTTTCCATATATTGGATGATCAATGTAAGAAAAAAAAAAAAAAACACAAACACTTCCGCAGAAACGGTGCGTTCCATTTCTTATTAATCTATTCTCCAGGCTCTTCTTAGCGGGGCCGGAGCCGGGCACAAGTGGAGCGGAAAATGGTGCGAATTGAAGTGAAGCATGGCGACGGCAAAGAATTCCTCTACGACTGCTTAAGCACTTCGCCGGTTGATGACATTGCCTCAGAAATTATTCGAATTTCCAATCTCCAGTCCAAGATCAATTGCCTTTCTCTTCAACTGGAGCCTCGCTTGATTCCCCTTTCCGGCGACTCCAACGCTACATCCCCCTATATCTCTCTGTTTAGAGCGTTAGAAGAAGCCAAGTCCTATGCATCCAAGGTCACCTCTTTCCTCTATTCTTTCCTTTCGGCCTTTTCGGCCTCCAAATAACAGCAGCCGATAGTTTTAGTTTTCTTTTTCTTTTTTCTTTTTTCTTTTTTATAGCGATATGTGACTTGAAATTGATATCAAATTGAATTTGTTAATAATTAACGAAAATTTTCTTGTTTTTAAAATTTTTAGAATTATTTTTTTTCAAAAAAAGTAGGAATCTTTGCTAAAAAAATCAGTATGGGGAATCTCAAATTCACAATACATAATTTTTTTCCCATATTTTTCCTTTTTTTTAATTGAAATGAAAATATACTATTCAATGCAAACGGAAATATTAAGGGAATTGATCACCGAGAAACAAAATGTTACTCTTTTTGTCTAATATAGGATATTAGGAGGTCATGCATATTATACTTTTCTTTTCTTTTTTTCATTGCAGGACCAGGTTTTACATAATAGGCCTTTATCGTACCATGTCTTGAGAGACCATCTACAAGCAATAGAGAAGGAATTCATGGAAATTTATCAGTTTCTAGGCTTCACAGATTCTGCTGAGTTTCACCAGCTCCTAATGGGTACTTTGACATCCACTTTTCTTCAACTTTTTACATGTGCTGTGTTAGAGAACATCCAGTGTTGGTCATTACTGATGTCCTATAAATAAATATGTACTGTGAATGTAACTCTTAATCAATGATCACAGGCATGCATTTCTTTGGTGTATGATCGAATCCGATACTCCTTGCTTTGTTAGTTGGGGTAGATAATCAAAGAATGCATTGTTTATGGGGGTGAAAATTTGAATTTTTTTTTTCTTTTCTCTTCTATATGTTCTTTTGAAAATTTCAGGCATGGAACTTCTTCAAGAGGGTACAACTAAGCTTTGGTGGGCCGGGAAAGAGCTTGATAGGAGTACAAGGTTATGTGATTATATTGGAAGAAACGAGAAGACTAAGGTATTTACTTATAGGAATGGGTATTATCCTATCACCTTTTTCAAGATAATCATCTCATGATATTATACCTGTCTTCAGATTGTTATCAGGCTGCAATCTGCTGATTCGCATAATGAGTGATTTTTGAGTAAGTTGGAAATCTCTTCAGCATTTAATATTTAACTGGAAAAAGTCTATCTTTCATGTGTTGTTGTGGCCTCAATTTGTGCTTCTCCTCGTGGAATCTCTTCCCTCAAAACCATGATGTGATTTGTTTGCTCTTCTCTGAGAATCTTACTTTTCCCTTCCTATGGTAGGTAAGACCCCACATGAGAGTGTAGACATCATGTTGAATCCGTTAAACAAGGATTGAAGCTCCAACTTAGTCATGTTCTTGGGACTGCCAACTTCTCAATAACAAGTCATCATATGTAAAAAGAATTCTTCAATCAGTGAATTTTGCAATTTACTCAGGACTGTATGATCATTTAACAATAGAAAGAATATTGTCACCGTGTACAAGTTGCATTCATGTACTTTTAGAGATATAAATATATTCTTATTTCATCTAATTCAATAATTATTATTAAGAAGGATCATGAAGCCACATTGGATTTCATTTTGTTGGATATAAACAAGAAATTCATTCTCTGGCTTATCGCATTCCTTCTTTCGTGTACCTTGTACCATGTTTCCCGGAAGCATGTGGAACATCATGAACAGTAACTTTTCCTTACTCATGCAGTTCTTTTTGGGCCACCTGCAGAGTTTGGGTAACAAGTTAACAAAACAAAGCAATTAAGTGTTGCAGCAGGTGTGTTTGGCTTTACTTTTCCAATCTTCTATTAGTCATTCATGGAAGTTGGGCGGGGAAAGGTTTCTTGTTTTCTGGTTATCTATTCTAAGTGCAGGTAACATCAAGTTGGCCTTTCACTACTTTTCTTTGCCTCTTATTTTGTCAAATATCTGGTTGACTTGTTGTTTAAGGTAATTTTGAATATCCACCAAGAAATGGAAAGAAGAGAGAAAAGCCACCTGTAAGGTTGGTTCTCTAAACCTGAACATCCCTCTTCTGCCTATTCTTGATTGTCATCCTTTTCTCAACTCTGTTGGATTGCAGCATAGTCTGTCTACATTTTTAGTGCGTCTATGAATATGGGGTTGATCCTAATTCTTTTTGTATATT